GATGTTCTTTCCCAGACACTGATCTCTCCTGATAGCATGTCCAAAGTACACGAGACAAAGCCTTGCCATCCTTGCCTCTCAGGAACATTCTGGCTGTACAAGAAATCTACTTTTTCTTTTGGTAGTTCATTGTATTTTCAATATTCTTCACCAATACAATAATTCAAATGCATACGATTTCCCTTAGGTCTTCCTTATTCAAACTTGCACGTGCACATGAGGGGAAGAGCATGTAAAGATATCCAGCCAGGGTTGTCAATTTGGCAGCTACAGGTTTGGTTGTAAAGTCAGATCTTAGAATTGGGAGAAAGGTCAAGGTTAGAAGTATGTTAGGGAGTGATTGTCATCATAAAGAGGTTCTAGGTATACTGAGAGAGAGAAGAGAACAGCAGTAAAATTGTAACAAACGCTAATTTTTAAGACCAAGGCAGACAGCTATTAAAAGAAACAGGGAAGTAGATAAATATCAGGCAGTATTTGAATAGCAGTCATGAAGATGGAGGAGTTTCAGGAAGGAGTAAACGATCAGTACCACATGACTTGGGGAGAGTAAGTCACATGAACTGACACGAGACTTGGAGCTGGCGAGCCCTCCATGATCTGTATGCCATTTCTTGAGCTCATTTCCCTTTGCAGGCACCACCTGCTGACTTGGTGCCTGTAGGTAGACTCAGAAGAGAGGTACAGTTTCACTGTTCAATACACACATGTTCACGTGGCAGTGATGCTGTTGTTGATTACCTGTATAGGAACTATTAAATCCAGAATCTGATTTTGATTTAGACCTTACCAGCTAGGAAGAAATTCATTTTTCCCCAATCAGATCTTTGTTGGTACACAACCCACCATCAGGTGTCTATTATGAGCAATTTACAATTTGTCACCTAATTTTGGCATGTGAGGGGATATCCCCCAAAATTGGAATATGTATATATTTTCAAAGTTATATATTTAAATTATTTTTCAAAACAGCCGTATCACCTTCAAAGTATTCTCCATTACACCTAATACATTTGTCAAATCTGCGATTCCATTCTTGGAAGCCGTTTTCAAACTCATCTGTTTGGGTGGCTGACAGCTCCTTGTTTTTTTCTTCGCCTCTTCTATGTCGTCAAATCACTGTCCTTTCATGTCCCTCTTCATTCGTGGAAGCAAAAAGATGTCACACAGAGCGAGGTCAGGCATGTAAAGTGTGTGAGGTAGGAGAGGCTTGATGCTTTTTTACCAAACACTGGCAAACTGAGATGGCTGTGTGAGCAGGTGCATTGTCATGGTGGCAAGACCAGTCCCTTATCTGCCACAAATCAGGTCTTTTTTGTCACATACTGTTATGCAATCTTTTCAGAACCTCTAAATAGAACGCTTGCTTACCAGTCTGACCTGGTGGAAGGAACTGCAAATGTACTGTGAGTCAACATTTTCATCCATTACAGAAGTGGACGGATGTCCAGAATGAGGTTTGTCATCAATTGACATTTTACCTTTTCTAAAATGAGAAAACTACTCATATGCTTCAGTTTTTCCCCTCGTGCTGTCCTTGTAAGGTGTGTTCAACATCACAATAGTTTCTGTGGCATTTGTCCCCGAGCATGAAACAAAATTTCACAACTGCACACTAATCTCTTAAATCAGCCATCACAAAAAAAAACGAAGTTCAAGCAAAACTGTTTTCATGAAAAAATTCACTGTGACCAGAAAGAACTTTCCTAGGCGATGCCACTCGGTGCACTAGCGCAGAGCAAGTTGTTAGATGCTCGCCAAGAGGGAAAAATGTGTAATATTAAAACTCTGCCTAGCAGAACTCTTTTCTGCTTTTTGAAGGATACCCCTCATATATTAGAGGTCTTCAAAAAGTTGGTGGAAAACTTCCATTGCCTTCTAATTCAATTTTTTCATGCACAAAAGTCAAACTTCAAAAATAATAATTCCTTTTTAATAGTGCAAGAGCTTTATAACATTTTTGGCATTTCTCAAAATTCAATCCTTCATCAATAAGAATTCATCAAGTACATGCTGGGTGTAGGGCTCTGGGTGTAGTCATAGTCTAGATAAATTCCCTACCCTTGTGAAGTTTATATTCTGGTGGTAGAAATAAATGATAAATAAATGAGTATTTTTATGTAACTTTAAACTCAACTTTAGGCCCAAATGAAAACACAAAGCAGACTAGTGAGGTCTGCAAGGCAAGGCCTCTCTGGGGAGGGCAGTTTTAAGCTTAGACTGGAACAGTGAAGAGAAAGAATCGGTTCAGGAGTTAAAGGAACAATCTCGGCAGAGAGACAAGTGCAAAGTCCCTGAGGCTTAGCACAGGATCTTGGCACATAAAATGTCCAGAAGGAGGTTCTTGCATAGACTCAAGGACAAATGAGTAAACTTGAAAACTTCAGACCATATTGAACAATGACGTATGTAGTGGGTACTATTTTCTTCACCTTTGCCCTTTGCTCGTTCTCCTTTCACAAGGATGACAACTGCAGATTCACAAAAACATGGTAAGAGGAAATCAAAGCCCATTTCTCTAGCACCAAATGTCTTGACCAAATACAGTAAATTGTAATCCAGTCCACTTCGCAAGCCAACTGAACGAAGGAATTCAATTCAAATTCAAATGTTTTCAAATGGCAAATGTAAAATTTCTTCTTCTGGTCCTACCATCAAGAATTAGGCAAGACCTCACAAGTTAAAAGGAACAGTCCTTCAGAGCACCAAATCTTCCATGATAAAGACTGAAGATGCTACCTGCAATTCAGGGGTACTAAAACACCCCCGCTTCTGACATGCTAACATTTTTATTCTTAACAATCAGGGTTATCAGTCATAAACTCAAGGTGTGTACCTATGTTTTCTAGCTTCTTGTTTGCTAGCTCCCATACTCTCTTAGGCTCAATAATTTGCTAAATTGATTGACAACTCAGAAAAGTGTCCCTAGTTTTGTTATAGCAAAATGGATATAAATGAAGAGATGCATACAACAAAGTCTGAAAGGATTTGCAACTCAAATCTTTCCTATCCCCAAAAGGGACATACTACTCTCCCACATATGTAAATGTCTATAAAGAAACTGCCACGAAGTCTTAGTTCACAAATCTTTTTATGTAATTTAACCTCTAGCTACTTGTTGCTGGGCTTGGCTGACATCATGGGTCTTTCTGGCCTGCCAAGCTCTAACTGTTTTATTTCTATGTATTCCATTGGTGAGGTACATGTGCATGGCCATGATTTATATCATTGAAAAAAGGTATTCCTATGAATAAGTTATTGGTCTTGAAAAATTCTACCACGAGGTTTTGGGCACTATTTTCATCACGAAGGTCATAGATTTCCAATTAGTGATCCTTTTTCTTTGTTTCCAACGTTTGCATTCTAGTCACCGATAATTATAAATTAAGATTGATTGCATGTTTGATCAACTTCAGACTGTAGAATCTAATTTCTTCATATTTGGAACTCTATAATTTTGAATAATTATCAATTGGTCTATATGTATGAACATTATCCTATTATTATTTGCATTGCACTTCATGATTGTTATTTAAATGTACTTTTTGATAATAACATGATGCAAATTCTTTTCAGTTTGTCACTCCTAGTATAGAAGACCCATGATTGTCTATTCAAAATGGCCAATATCAGCTCATTTCAGCTCACTGATTTCTGGACTTTTGATCTTTATGTGTTCAATTTCATTCTGGATAATTTCCAATTTTCCTAGATTCATACATTTTATATTTCACATTCTGATTATGAGTTGATATTTGCAGCTGATTTCCTCCTTTTGAATTATATCACATCAACAAATGAAGTGATATAATTCAAAAGGAGGAAATCAGCTGCAAATATCAACTCATAATCAGAATGTGAAATATAAAATATTATTAACGGAGGAAGTCCATGCTGCACTGCATGCATTAGCTAACATCAAGGATTCAGGAACTGAAGGTGTACCAGTTGAGATATTCCAATAAACAGACACAACGCATCTATTCCAAGTGCTCATTCATTTATTAAAAAAAATTTGAAAAAATGCTAACTGGAAAATATCCATACTTATCCCCATCCCAAAGACAGGTGATCTAATAGAACATAGAAATCATCTATCATGCATCTATCACATGCAAGTAATATTTTCCTAAAGATAATTCAAAAATGGTTGCAGCAGTACATTGATAGAGAACTGCCAGAAATTCAAGGCATTTTCAGAACAGAACATGGAATTACACCAGACAGTTAGATCATGGTTGAAAGCAGAGACTATCAGAAAGGTATTTAATTGTATTTTTATTGATTTATGCAAAAGTATTCAGCCAATAGTGTGGATCATAACCACTATGGATTACATTGTGAAGAACTGGAATTCCAGAACATTTAATTATGATCATGTATAATGGAACTTGTGCATAGATTAGCGGTTCTCAACCTGTGGGTCGTGACCCCTTTGAGGGTCAAATGACCCTTTCACAGGGGTCGCCCGATTCATAACAGTAGCAAAATTACAGTTATGAAGTAACAACGAAAATAATCTTATGGTTGGGGAGTCACCACAGCATGAGGAACTGTATTAAAGGGTCGTGGCATTAGGAAGGTTGAGAACCACCGGCCTAGACCAACAAGCAGTCAGCAAACAGAACAGGATGCTATCTGATCAGGAAAGGAGTGTATCAGGGTTGTATTCTTTCCCCATACGAATTGCATCTGTAATCTAAGCAAATAATCTGAGAAAGTGGAATACATAAAGAATGTGGCATCAGGATTGAATAGGTTTATCAACAACTAAAATATGATACAATCTTGCTTTCTGAAAGCACAGAAGACTTGGGGCGCTTACTGATGAAGAGTGAAGATTAGTCTTCAGTATGGATTGCACCTCACCACAAATAACAAAAATCCTTACAACCAGTGAGCAGTATCATGAAAAAGAAAAAAATAAACTGTCTAAGATTCCCTTTTACTTAGATCCACAATCCATCCCCATGGAAACGGCAACCAAGAAAACAGATGGCATTGCCCCTAGAGGCGTTGCAGCGTGGCCACCCTGACACACCTGTGTCATCCGAGGGCAGAGAGAAGAGGGATTATGTCTGGGCTCATGGGTCTGACGTGAACCACCTGACTGACTGCGAGCCCCACAGTCCTATTGCACCTGCGTGACCTGGGCCACCTGGGGACCTGAAGGGGGTAGGGGGCAGTGGGGGTTCCCTGCTAAGTCATTTTGCAAAGTGACAAGATCCTGGCAGCTGGATGACAGTGCATGCTCTCGGGCCCAGCATGCACATCGGCTGATTAATTTAATGCATGAAGGCAGGTGATGTCCCGCTCCTGGGCACTGGCCACAGCCACCGACTGACCACCACCGTTCTGCCAAGATTCAGCCACAGACCACCACCATAACAGACTGCAGGAGCCCCCCACTCCATGCCAGGAGCGCATCCCACTGTGACAGGCACAGAAACTGCAGGGGGCGGGGGAGTGCGCGACAGCCTTCTGGGACACAAGCAGAGTTTGGCAGGTGTGGACTGAAGATGACCGTGTGTCTGTCCCCACAAGGCCACTAGCTGAGGGGGCTACTGGGAGGATGGTGGGGTCTGGCAGAAGCTAAGTGGAGAAGGAATCCTTTGGAAACAATAAAGTGAACTGAAGGTGGAAGAAAATCAGAAAAGAAACAAATGGCATTACATTCTACAAATGTGCTGCAAAACACCTTCTACTCCTTGACATCTCTTTAAAGATGACCTCGGGATCCTAGATTCAGGGGTCATCAGGCCCCATAGCTCCAGATTCTCACTATGGTTTGGTTTGCATTTCTCTCATAACAAATGATAGGAGTCCAGTTGGTAGAATGGTTTATGTATTGGGCTGCTAACCAAAAGGTTAGCAGTTCGAAATTCCCAGTTGCTTCTCAGGAGAAAGATGGGGTCTTCTACTCAAAAATTTACAGTTCAGAAACCCACCAAAGTAATTCTACTCATCTCCTCCCTGAGGAGATGAGCCAGTCAGGGTGCGATGTAACAATGATGAGAAATACAACTTTCCTCTAGCTCCTAAAGGTTTCCTCCCCGCTCCCACTACCATGACTCGAATTCTATCTTGCAAGACTGGCTAGACCAGAGGAGGTACACTGGTACAGATAGGAACTGAAAATACAGGGAATCCAGGACGGATGAGCCCTGTAGGACCAGTGGTGTGAGTGGCAAAACAGGGAGGGTAAAGGGAGAATGGGTAGGAAAGAGGGAACCGATTACATGGAACTGTGTGTGACCTCCTCCCTGGGGGACAGACAACCGAAAAGTGGGTGAAGGGAGACGTTGGACAGGGCAAGATATGACAAAATACCCATTTATAAACTATCAAGGGCTGATGCGGGAGAGGGAGCGGGGAGGGAGGGGAAAAATGAGGACCTAATTTTGGGGGTTTAAATGGAGAGAAAATGTTTTGAGAAACGATGTACAAAGCGCTTTACATAATTGATGTGTGTATGGATTGGGATAACAGTTGTATGAGCCCCTAATAAAATGTTAAAAAAAAAAAAAGTAATTCTACTCTATCCTATAGAGTTGCCACAAATCAAAATTATCTTGATGATAGAGTGTTTAGGGTTTGTTTGTTGTATTGAGTTCTTAAAGATGTTGAGTATCAAAAAACAAAAACAAAATAAAAACACCTCCTTAAAGGTTACAAAGCAAAGATGTCCCCTGGAGGATTAAGGTGCTTCCAACCTGAGCCATGACTTTTCATTCTTCTCAGAGCCGCAATAAAAGCTGGTCAATGAATAATGAAGATCAGAAAAGAATGTATGCCTATGTGATGGATTTAGGCCTATGTGGTGCCCTAGTGGGTCATGCATTAGGCTACTAACCACAAGGTCATAAGTTCAAAATTACCAGCTGCTCCCTGGGTGAAAGATGAAGCTTTTCACTCCTGTAGAGTCAAGGACACCCTCACGGCATTTCCACTCTGCTTAGTGGTCACTTGGAGTCAGAATCAACTGGATGGCAGTGAGTATGGGGTTTCTGGTATTTCCATAGTGGTGGTGAATATAAAATATACCACAGACTGCCAGAGAACAAACAAATCTGTCTTGGAAGAAATGTCTTTGTAAGGTGCACTTTGGACATGTTTATCAGGAAGGATCAGTCCCCAAAGAAGGACATCATGCTTGGTAGAGAATCAGTGACAAAGAGGAAGGCCCTCAATCAGATGGATCGACACAGTGGCTACAACAATGGACTGAAACATAGCAAAGTTTGTGAGGCTGAAGATGGTGCAGCACCTGGCAGTGTTTCACGTACGGGTGGGTCACTATGAGTTAGACTCAACTCAATGGCACCTAATGCAAACAGTGGGTACCTCTCAGGGGCCCGGGGAAAAACAAATTATTTCGGTACAGACATATTATCCCACACAGCGATTCATTCAGATGCCTTTTCTTAAATAATCCGCGTACCTGTCGAAAGTATGGAGGAGCTGAAATGTAGGGAAACACTTCAGAAACTTCACAGAAACAATCACTACGTTGTTGTGTTATTAAACTCTTGTGAAAACTAAAAATAAATTAAAATATTAGCAGAGAGTCAAGGTTTATTTATTGCATTTTTAGGCCTTTGATCTAATTTAGCCAAGAAAAGGTACAGATTTCTTCTGGTACGCATTTGGTCATTATTGTTGAGCTACATACATTATGTATTCATGATTGTCTGCGGAACAGCTAACTATTGACCAGGCTTCCTCGGTGGTTTCAATCAAGAAACTGCTGACAGATGAGAATGAATAATTAAGTACATGTGGTGAAGGAGCAATTCAAATTTATACACCAACCACTAAAGTAAGTAATGAAGAAATTGAAGGATTCTTCCAATTTCTCCAGGCTAAATTTAACCAAGCATACTATAAAATTGGTAATTCATAGTGAATAAAATGAAAAGGTTGGAAACAAAAAGAATCATCAGTATTTGGAAATATGGCCTTGGTGATAGAAACGGAGCTGGATATTGCATGCTAGAACTTTACAATTTTACAACTTCCCCACTGTAATTCCCATTTTTCAGCAACATAAATGGCAACTGTACCTGTGGACTTCACCGGTTGGAAGACACAGAAATCAAATTGGCTGCATCTGTGGCAAGAAACAATGGAAAAGTTCGATAGCCATGGCCAAAACCAGGCCAGGAACCAACGGTGCAAAAGTTGGACGATGAACAAGTAAGACAGAAGAAGAACTGATACACACGAATGATGGTGCTGGTGAAGAATATTCAAAGTATCGTGGGCTTCCAAAGAATAAACACATCTGTCTTGGGAGAAGTACAGTCAGAAGCTCCTCAGAGCCAGGACAGTGAGACTTCATCTCACGTACTTAGGACTTGTTATCAGGAGGGACCAGTCCCTGAAGAAGGGAAAGCAGAGGGGCAGTGAAGAGGAAGGCCCTCAGGGAGACAAGTGAACACAGCGGCTGCAACAATGGGCTCAAACATACGAGCAACTGTGAGGAGGGAGCAGGATTGCGTAATTTCATTCCACTGTACCTCAGGCTGCTATGAGTCAGAACTACTGGACAGAACCCAACAACATCTGATATGTTGTTCCACACCCTGCCTGTTTCATAAAAGGTCGTCTCACAGATAGTGTAGGAAGAGGACAACAGAGGGCGTTTTTGACCTTGATAACGTGATGAAGTTAGTCTGACCAAACAGCCCAAAGATGCACCAGAGCAGGAAAAAAAACAGGTACAAAAATTCTATCACTTATTAAGGCCACTTACTGGCATCTCCTGACATATGATCCTGGAACAGCTATTTCTAGAAATGCCTAGAAGTGGTAATGAAACAGGCCTTCTACTTCTCATTTCCCTCAGAAATTCCACATTTTTGTCACTGCATTACTCTAGAAGGAAATGTGCTGATCAGGTGTGTCTATACAATGTCACTGTTAGCTATAATGAGAGAAAATTCTTTTGTTTTTAAGACTTTGTTACAGTCAATAATATGATCCATTGTATTCATTCAAAATACAGAAGATTGATTCTCCCCAATTCTGAAAGAGCCAAACCAAGATTTAAGGAAGAGGAGGGTTTTTTTTCTGGAGCTTGATCCTCCAAGCTCAAAGTTTCCCGAAAAATCACAGATATCCTTCGCCCCATACGCTACCTTTCATTCAAACAAAATGTACAATGTCAAATAGTTGGAATAATCTGTGTCCTTTGGAGCATTGGATTGCCAACTATCACAAGAATGAACAGTCACTGTAAGAGAAAGCCAACAGACGTCAGGTCTGGTTTGCAAACGCAGGCTCTGGGAAAATGTAAAGGAGTAAGGAGTGTTGACAAGAGATTTATTTTCCAGATATATAAACCTGACTGATTCTCAGCAAAAAACAAATAGTTGTAAACACTCCGCTAAAATTCATAGGGAAATATACTGAGATCTGAAAGTAGACATCACAACTTAGAAAATAAACAAAAAGGTATAAACGGCTTATGAAATTCTTGGCTGAATGTCTTGCTGAATTATAACAAATAATATTCAGCAGGTCCAACAAATATACATATATATAACGAATTTCATCTATAAACATTCATCCAAATTCTATATTTCTAATATAATATAGTCTACTCTCTAGGCTAAATATCTAAACAAGAAAATTATATATATATATTTTTAAGCCCAGAGTATGCTACTAATTATCTCTGTATTTAGGAGTTAAATCCTAATGATGATCCCTAAAAAGGGAAAAACGACTGCGGATACATATTTCATAATCAATAAGGTTCTGTCGGGCTAGGTACTTTTCATCAATTGTGTATTACCAATGCACTAGGGTTACTAAACATCTCAGTTCATATGAAGCTATCTCAGTTTTAGCACTGAAAGTTCTATATCCCAGAAAGCCACTTAGATCTAGGCAAACTTAAAGGATTGTTCCTCTATAGCTAAGACTTAGATAATAGAATATTCATATAATCTGAACATTAATTTATATAGGATTCCATGAGAAGGCTAGGTTAATAAAATATATGTGGCCCGTGGCCCTCTCATGGGAAAATATAGACTAAGTGTGTGACTGGATAACAGAACCAATTTAGAGTGACAGGAGTTTAAGGTAAACTTGGAGAGTAAGGAGATAGATAATACAGAGCAAAGAAAATAAATAAATAAATTTCCACAGTAACATTCCTTCCATCAGTATTCATGAACTGTAATTTAAGCTGAGAAAATGTAAGATCCAGATTCTAAAGTATAGGAATCACTAGCTTTAATAATATAAAAAGGGTAATAAAAGCACTGGAATTTCCATAGGAATATCAGATTTTCCTGTATCATATTGATTTATTGAAGTGCTTAACAATGGACTTCAAATATACATTTTTCCACAAGTAATCCCCTAAGGGAATTACTTCAAGATCAAGGTTATCCTTTTTTAGTGAATCTGACAATAATAAACGGTTTAGCAGTTTTATGGTTAACACAGACAACAATTTCTAGAGAATTTTTGGACCCCCAGGTAACAAACAAGCCAATTTTTAGAAGTCGAAATAATGTGTAATTCCTTCAGTACCTGCTGCCAGTGAATCTATTATTTCTCGGTGTAAAGCCTTTGTTGTATCTGCTTTTCATTTAAGCTTAGGAGAAAACATTTTGTTTCTGGAATTATTTCCTGGAAAGGGGTATCAGTCAGTCCCTTGACTGTTCAGTACAGTACTGAAATCCAACGGCTTTCTTCCTTCCCTTGCTTCAGGACCATCCATTGCTGCCTGGAAACACCCCACACATGTGGCCTTGTCACTGGGAAATAAAAACATCTGATCCAGCAGTGATGAAAGAGAGATGTTTGAAAGCAAACAATCTAAGATAATTTCATGACTAACACTTAAAAAGGGTCCAAATAAATTTGATAACACATCTAATATGTGTAGCATATTCACAGGGAGAATACTCAGTAGTGAAGCACATTCACGGGGAGAATACTCAGTACGTGTAGCATGTTCACGGGGAGAATACTCGGTACGTGTACTATATTCACAGGGAGAATACTCGGTACGTGTAGCATATTCACAGGGAGAATACTCGGTACGTGTAGCATATTCACAGGGAGAATACTCGGTACGTGTAGCATGTTCACGGGGAGAATACTCGGTATGTGTAGCGTATTCACGGGGAGAATACTCAGTACATGTAGCACATTCACGGGAGAATACTCAGTACGTGCAGCATATTCACGGGGAGGATACTCGGTACATGTAGCATATTCATGGGGAGAATACTCGGTACGTGTAGCAAGTTCACAGGGAGAATACTCAGTACGTGTAGCATATTCACGGGGAGAATACTCAGTACGTGTAGCGTATTCACGGGGAGAATACGCAGTACGTGTAGCATATTCACGG